TCCAAGCATCCGATATTTAACCACATTCAGGTGGGATTGCTTCCAACTATTTAAACCACCATCAACACTTAACCACTAAAGCCAATTTTAAATCATCCAAACGTGAAGGTGGCCAGTCGCAGTGGCTGCATCCATCTCAGGCAGACAACTGAAAATGTGCGCCTTCCAAAAAAATTCAACCAGTCGCAGTGGCGCTGTAGCTGGCGCTACTGATTGTGGTGGTGATGGTGGTAGCTCGGCTGTCTGAATGCTGTGGCAGTTTTTATTCCACTTCACGCCAACGCCACTATTTTCGTATCCACTTGACGACACTCCCATCTGATTCAATGTGTCCACATTCTCCCATTCGCCACCCTGCGCCTCACCTCCCCTCCTTCTACTTCCCATTTCTTCCATTATCAACCAATGCATCAGTCATCTCTCGCCTACCTCAAACACACATAACGCTCATCCCTCCACTCAGTCTACAGACATCCACCAATGCCAATGCCTCACTTCTCATCACAACCACATCAACTCGTGACGGTCATGATCCCTGCTCCACCTGCAATCACTCACACCACATCACATCATATTTGCAGGCGACTTGGAGGCCACAGTCACTTCTGCCACCACTTCGATTCACTGCCAATGACAGTCAATGTGGGAGGGTCTCCTCCTCTTGGCAAACTCCAGTCATCACAAGTGAAGTGTTGTATTTCCGATGGTCACTCATAAATGCGGCCCTCATCTGCCACATAAATTCCTCCGCCCCCTCACCTCACTTCACCTCGATTGCCACCTCTCTGGTTGGCATTTTCAATTGCAGTCCACAATCGTAATGCCACGCCTCTCCTCACAGACACTGTCATTTCACCAAATTAATTCGCCTCTTCTGATCGTGTACTTTTCCACAAACTATGGAGTTCCTCTACCGATGAAGTGGAGCTTTGCGTCTACATCAGAGGACATGAATGTGATCCATTAACTAACGCGTTGCAGTGAGAAAATGATGGAGAAGGTCGTGATTTTGCTTTGTACTGTTCAAATGAGAAGCGCAGGTAGCCTTCCAAGGTAGCCGATGATCATGTGTGTAGTTCTTCAATCCTCGTAGTCGTGGCTGTGACCAACTCGACGTACAGT